GGGGGGGGGGGGGGGGGGGGGGGGGGGGGGGTACGCATGTGCATGTTTGTTGGTAATTGGGTTGGATGGATTTGGTGGAATAAGGTGATGCAGCATCATGGAACCCTGCTGGGTGACTTCATGGTTTGGACTTTTGTGAGTTGTTCTTTTGTTGTTGTAGCAGTCAATCTGAGGAGCACCTTCAGTAATCTGTCTGTGACAAATAGCCTCCAGAATACACCCCACCTGATCACAGGTGTCCATTTGTGCTCTACTGGTGCTCAAAATGTAAGCCTCAAACTCCAATTCAGGTGCTGACTAAAAGAAAAGACCAGGTGTTCCTTGAAGGAATGCACATCACCCTCCACCTCTCAGGCCAAAGTTTTAAGCAAACTTCTTTCCATATTTGAAAAACACAGAGTTATGACAGTTTTGGTCAAATCTGGAAAATAAAGTTACACAAGATCTCACACTACATCACAAGATTTTATTTATAATATAAAGCTGCTTTGCCAATGATAAGTGTGACTCCACTCAGCTCTCATTTTATTGGTTCTTCTCAGATGGAGGTGATTTGCCTCTGTGACTTGTTTCCCCGCTCTGTGGGTGGGATCATTAACGCAAAGTGGACGGTATCGTAACCGGTCATTGTGTTAGAGTCGCTCCACCCGTTGCGGACCTTAATCGCCCTATAATTGGACATGAATTTCTTTAGCTTATCCTGGCACTGCTTATAAGTCCGGGTGTAGGCATGCTGCTCCAACATCTCTGACATCGCTTTGTGAAGGCACTCAATTGTTTGGTGCCATGCGTCAACACGATCAGAGGAAGTGGAGGTTCAGATGTAGTTTGTAGTTTTGCTGGGCAGGTCTGCCAGTGACATAACTTTGTTGGCCAATCAACGGCTGCTGTCTGCTTACGTCAAAATCGTCACCTTGGACCAGTTTGCTCCAAACAAGACAAAAAAGATGATCCCATAAACCAGGCTGAGTGGGACTGGTACCGGCAGTGTGCAGGCCCTTAACTGGTGTAGTGTGGTGCTGAACCGATGAGAGTTAAGACCGTGGAAAAGCACCATATTAGTTCTCAAATTATGTTATGGAGGACTCTCAGCTACTACCAAACTAGATTACAGATTTATAGGAATGTTTGTGTTTGATACGTTTGATTAGCTGTGGTGGCCATCTTGAATTGAGTTGACTCCTACAGTTAAATGCTTGTAGAAGGACATTCAACAATGACTTTCCTAGAGTTTCATTAAAACTATAGCAGAGGTTCATGATATATTATGCTAACAGACAGACATACACACATAGACAGAGGTTTTGCATGAGTCCCTGTTTTTAAGAGCTTAACATATCTCTATTAGCCTTCTGCTATTGTTAAAAGCATGTATATCCATTAAACCCATGTGTCAGCAGCTGCATCGGAGCTTGAGGTGTGTTCAAGTGCTTCTCTGTCAGTTTGTTCTGTGTCTGTGGGCCTAAACTATGTTCTCATGTAAATAGGTCAGAATAAGGACTAAGTGTAGGCGTGAACTCTTATGAGCTCCTGAAGAATCTTAGCGCTTTAATCGTTCTCTGTGTCTCTGTTCACTATATGCTCTCCTGTCTCTGAGTTAGACTGCCTTACTGGCATCATTCGCAATTCTTTATTGCCAAAGTTCTACAGATTAACTAGACGAAGAGTTCAAAAGGTTGATCAGCTGAAGAGTTCAAAGTGAAATTGTTAATAGAGGAAAAAAAAGTAAAATGCATCAGTTGTTGTTGTGTGTGTGTATCGCTCCTCAATAAACAACTTCCTCCTGAGGTTCTGCTGTGTCCACAGAGTGCTCATTATTGAAGCGAGTTGAGTTCTGATGGTCCAAAACTTGAATAAAGATTTGGGTCATGTTCAAGTGTGCTTCCATGGATTAAAGCTCTCAGTTTGGACAAAGTGAGTCTTTGGTGATGAATCAACAGCTAGTTTGAGCAGATCAGGAACCTACTGCCCATCAGCTTAAACTTACCCATGAGGCCTCAGCTCTGACCCAGGGACAAGAAGGTTAAACAGCTCCTGTTTCAAAGTGGTTCATGCAAACTCATCTATTTAAACCTTTAAATTTTGTAAAATATTTATGGAGAATTATGTTGTGCTTTTTTTCCAGCATAAAACATTTCAATACTCAGGGAGCATGAATTTATTAATATTTCTGACAAAATAAAATGGTTGAAATACTAAACTAAATTTCTACATCTGCGTTGTTCAGACAAGCTGTTGTTGGTTCTTCTATTGGACCATGTTTGGACTAGCCATTAGCTCATCAGTCCTGTCAGACTGAAACATATTTCTCCTTCACATGAAGCTGAAACAGTAAAAGATTTTAACGATTGCGTTGAAAGTCCAAATGACCAGATCCACGACAGTAGTTTTAGTTTCAGAAGATGTGTAAAATAGGAGCGCCGATACACAGACAGAAAGCAAAAGAAGCAAGAGGAGGACAGGAGAGCAGGAGGAGGAAGAAAAAACGTCCGCCTTGCACAAGAGCAAGTGAGGAAAAAAAATCAGTTTTATTGCCATCATGCTAGAAATAAGGTTTACTCAATTTGATTATGCAATTACTATTCAGTTCAGTCCAGTTAAGTCTCAACAGAAGTTGTCTCAGGGCACCTGAACACAAACATTCACATACATTATAAAAGCCATTTTGTAAAAGTTATCTACTGTATAAGGAAGCAGCAGATTGTGTTGAATCTTCATTTCGTAGCAGTCTCCCATCCTGAGCAAGCACTAAGGAGACAGTGGGAAGGAAAAACTCCCTTTTAACAGGAAGAAGCCTCCAGCAGAACCAGGCTCAGGACGAGCGGCCATCTGCTTCAACTGGCTGAGTTTGAAAGGACAGGAAGGAGAAACAAACACCGAATGGCAGGTCCAGGAGTACTTTCTATAGGCGGACAGGCAAAAAAAAGAGACAATTTAAGATAGAAATAATTACAAATACAAACATGTAGAGCAGAGAAAGTAAAAACAGCAGCAGAGTGAGGAAATGTGGTCATTTTGTCCTCCAGCAGTCTAAGCCTATAGCAGCATAACTAAGGGATAGCTCAGGAAACCTAAGCCAACTATACTATAGGGTTTAACCAAAAGGAAAGACTTAAGTCCAGTCCTAAAACTGGATAATGTGTCAACCTCATGGATAGAAACTGGAAGTTGGTTCCACAAGAGAGGAGCCTGATAAAATCTAGATGCATTTCAGTTATCATCATGTAATCATTGATGAACAGCTAACATGGAAAAATCACATAAATTCTGTAAGAACAAAAATATCTAAATCTATTGCAGTACTATACAAAGTCAGGGAATTATTAAATGATAAAGCTCTGTACATGTTGTATAACACAATCATTGTTCTACATTTAATCTATTGCACTGATGTTTGGGGGAAAGCGTGTAAAACATTTACAAAGACTATTTTTATTTTACAGAAAAGAGCTGTAAGAATTATCACCAGAAAGCATCACAGTCACCCATCAAGCACATTATTTTATCAACTGAAGTTATTGAAGTTCCATGATTTGGTAGATTACAGTATTTTATCAGTTATGTATAGGGCTCAAAATAACACATTACCATTAAATATCCAAAGAAATTTTGTTAAAAGACAAAGTTGTTACAATCTTAAGGGGATAGAGATATTTGTCAAACCAAAATTCAGAACTAGTCTGAAGGGAAGGTCTACCTCAATCCAAGGAGTTGGATTGTGGAATGGTCTAGAGAGTGATGTGAAAAATGCCAAGTCAACGTGTACATTTAAGAAAAAGATCAAAGCTGGATTGTTAAAAAAATATATATATAAAGTAGCTTAATGTGTTTTTTGTATTAGATTTAGAAAAATTAAAAAGAGTTATTCATTTTGTTCTGTTACTTGAAAATTATTATGATTGAACTAATTGTGTGAAAAAAGGAGCAGATATAATAAGATTTTTTTCTTCTTCTGCTGCCTTTCATTTTAAATCTCTTGTATTTTTTAAATTGTTATGAAATTGTTTTGTATTTTTTTAATAAATAAACTTTATACCATACCATACCATAAATTGTGGAATGAATTAAATGCTGATTTCAAATTATGTGTTTTTTGGTGAGCTTTAAAAGAGCCTTAAAATGTAAAATTATTAAAGCTTATTCTGTTATCCAACATTTTTCAGTCAGGTCATCTGGACAGTTTCTTTTTTCGTGCTGAAACGTTTCGCCTTCGATCCGGAAGGCTTCATCAGTCAAGGAAACACACAACAAAACTGATTCTTCCTCCAGTCAGAGTTTAGAGCTCATCATAGCACAGAAACAGCACTAGTGAAAGTCACTAATGATAATCTCATGGCCTCAGACAATGGACTTGTGTCTACACTGGTGTAGATGAACAGATGCTCGGATATATTCATCAATTAACACGGATTCCTCATTTTTCTGGACTGAATAAAACGTGCATTGAATTTAAGGAAATGCAAACGTGAGACGTCATTTATATTTGACCCATCAAAATGAATGCGGACATTTATTTACAGAATCAAAA